GACCATTTGCCAGGGGAACCAACCATGTGATTAGAAAATTAGAACTTTCAGCCTCACTTCCCAACCTCTGGGAAAGGGAGAGAGACTGGAGGCTGAATTAATCACTAATGACCAACTATTTAATCAATCATGCCTATGTAACAAAGCCTCCATTAAAAATCCCTAACCAAAAAAGTCTGGAGAGTTGCCGGGTAGGTAGCTCTCCAAATAAGAATGCGTCTGTGTGCTGGGAGGGTGCTACAACCCAAACTCCACGGGGACAGAGGCCACTATCCTCAGGATTCTTCCAGACCTCCTCCTACGCACCTCTTCATCTGACTGTTCATTTTAATCCTTTAATATAATTTTTGTAATAAATCCATAGTAATAAAGTAAGTTAAACTATTTTCCTGGGTTTGTGAGCTGTTCTAGCAAATTATTCAACCTGGGAAGGGGGATTTAGGAAACTCCGGTTTGGATAGAGGTTGTGCATAACTTGTGATTGGCATCCGAAGTGGGGATCAGATTTGTGGGACTGAGCCCTCAACCTGTGTAGTCTGCACTAACTCCAGGAAGTTAGTGTCAGAACTGAGTTAAATTGCAGGACACCCTGTTGATATTCACTGATGAGTTGGAGAACTCGTTGGTGTGGAGAAACTACACATTTGGTTTCAGAAGTGTTGTGTTGTGACAGAGTATACAGAGAAAAAAGGATTTTTTTTTCCTTTTTAATATATGAGAAAAATGGTATCACAAATCAATGGAGAAAAGATAGATTTTGTAGTAGATGGTGTTAGAAAATCTGACTCACTCTATGAAGAAAAATAATACTGGATCTTTATTTGTAAAAACAACAACAAGAAATCAAAACAATGTCCCCAGAAACCCTCACTCAGGAGTCTTCAGAGTGATGGAAGGAAAACTAGAAATGTGCAGTCACAGAAGCTAAGTGAGGAGAGTTTTAAGAAGGNCAAATCAATGGAGAAAAGATAGATTTTGTAGTAGATGGTGTTAGAAAATCTGACTCACTCTGAAGAAAAATAATACTGGATCTTTATTTGTAAAAACAACAACAAGAAATCAAAACAATGTCCCCAGAAACCCTCACTCAGGAGTCTTCAGAGAGATGGAAGGAAAACTAGAAATGTGCAGTCACAGAAGCTAAGTGAGGAGAGTTTTAAGAAGGGGATATCAACTGCTAAAACAATTTCAGTGAGCATATGAACTAATGGGAAACTGATAAATTCAGCTATTAGGAGAACACACTTGATTGCTTTAGAAAGTGATGGGGCACCACTTGCATCACAAACATACCTAAAGGGTTGTCTGCAGCATGCTATGAGATTTAAATTCCATAAATTTTACCCACTCATTCACAGCACTTGCTCTGCATCCTTCACTTCTTGCAGGTCACCCTAGTCCCTGAGCAGAAGATAATCTTGCCACCTAGACTGGCCCCTGGGTAGGCAAGATTACCAACAGTTTGAATTCCTAGATGTCTACTGGGATTGAATCAGTTTCACACTGCTGCTGTAATAAATCACTGCAAACAATGGCTTAAAACCATACAAGTTTATTCTCTTAAAGTTCTGGATGGCTAAAATCAAGGTGTCAGCAGGGCTGTTTTCTTAAGGCTCACAGGGAAGAATCCATTTTCTTGCCTTCTTCAGCTTCTAATGGCCTTCTGTCCTCCTCGGCTCGTGGCACCTTGCTCCATCTTCAAAGCACATCGCTCCAGTCTCTGCTTTCATCATCACATTATCTTTTCCTCTTCTGTAGTCAAATCTCCCTCTACCTTCCTCTTACATTTGTGATTGCACTTAGGGGACATCCAGATAATGCAAGATAACCTCCGCATCTCAAGATCCTTAACATAATCACATCTTCAAAGTCCTCTTTGCCATATAAGGTAACATTCAACAGTTCTAGTGATTAGGGTATAAAAATATTTGGGGGACCATTATTTGTCCTATGACAGGGATAGAAATCAGCAGCCAAAAGAGCAAAAGACAAAAGGGTAAGCTTAGCTCATGAAGAAATCTTTCTGCAATGATGATGATTTTAAGGATCTAATGGTGGTAGTGGTGGAGCCCTTCATTATGATGTGGATTCAGCCCCTGTTGCTATCTCTGGGGTCTTAGGCCAATGTGGAAATTGGGTGTAGGAA